ATATTATTATTATAGGTACCTATATAATTATGTAATGTATTGAATGACAAATGGAAATATTTATGTCTAATAGTTTGATGTAGGTACTATTGTGTTGACCAAGTTATCATAACTTAAATAGTATCTAATTAAAGTATATTTCAACGGTCCAGTAAAAAGTAAGAGGAGAAATTAAATAATAGAAACTGAAAACATATTTAGATAATTTATTTTAGTTTTTAATATTTTAATATTAACTATACTACAGAAAAAACAGTTTTAATGTTATAAAACTTAAATAATAACTTATTTATCATTATTATTATTCATCAATAATTAATATTGTTCGTTTGTACAAATATAGTGAAAACACACTCACGCGTAGCTGTATTATTTGTATTAACTTATAAAGCTTGAAAATGGAATAATTACTTCATCACGTCAATACGGTTTCGGTTTAATGGTCCATCTATGTCCCTATTATACGGCAGATATACACTGATAATTAGATTTAGATAGTTGGTACATAACAATAAGGTTATTAGCATTGAGATTTTTAAAGTCAAGGGTATTACAAAAATGAATGTTTACTATTGTACGTTACTTAACAATGCAATGGTCCGGTCAACGTCAAAGTTCACAAATAAAGATAGGCACACACATACAAACGTGATATTATATGAGTAGGTACCTATCATATTGGTAAATTATAAAATAGACACATATATTTATATGTAAATGACAAATGTTTAATGACGATATGATTATTTTTACTTAGATTTCACATATAATATGAATACTGCAGCGCTATGTGACTACCACTATGAGGCAAATTACATCTCCAAAGCAAATTAGATTTAAAAGGTACACTCACATCGAGTTTTGGCTGGGAATCGGGATGTATTCGGGAGCTGGGAAGGCCAACAAAAACAATTAAAAGCAATGAAGTAATATGAAGTAATGCTTCTCATCGAGTTTATTAAGAATATTGCAGTGAGTCGTGAACATCAATAATACAGTTGTATACCATCGTGAGCTATATTATGATTATGTACCTATATAACAATTTTAAATGTTCAAAAAAATAACTATTTGAAAATGATTGTACAAATAAAAATGATAAGGGTAAATAATGAAAACAAAAATATTTGTATGTGTTTTATATAAATACATTTCTTATTATATGATTGATGAGCAATACAGGTATAATAAATTGGGTTGTAAGCAAATTAAATGCCATTGTATAATAATAAAGCATTGGAATAGTTCGACTATTTTTAAAATTGTAAGTGTAGGTACAACTAAAGAATTAATTATCGATTATCGTTCACTTAAGAAAACAACATTTTTCATTAATTTATTCAGTACGGTGTCACTATTATGGTCTAGCCCGAGACTACAGCAAATATATTAAGCTCACAGGCTCTCATATTATGTACCTACAAAGGTAGTTCAAAGTGTTCAAATAAATGTATTTGTTATATGGTATAAGTTATATACAAGTCTAAATGTCTAATGTCATCGCGATTTGATGTATTAGTATTTAGTTAGGTAGGTATAGCCGTATAGGTAATAGATGTGGCATAAATTCTAAATTGCTAAATTACTAATTATTGTGATACTTAAATTGTTTTAAGTCCTTTCTAATTAATTATTAACTAACTAATAATTCACGTAACTTGTCAAATTGTTCGTGTTAAAATTGTGTTGTCCATTAATCCTACACTCATGACTAATTTTTACAACTTTAACAACAATTTAGTACTATCAAGTTCATACATTTACAACCACTTAAATACACTAATATGTACCTATTCAATTATTTTGCTTAATTATGTACTTAAATATGCTGAACAAACTATATAATTATACTATTAAAACACATAGTTATGAACAAATTACCTACATGTTGTATTAATTATTTGTAATTTTAAAAAATCTTGTATGAATGTGGGTTGACGAATTCCATATTTTAATTATTGTACCTATATGCCAAAGATAATTTGTGGATATTCCCATAAATTACCTTTTGTTCATAAAAAATATATTTTTTTAATCTTCTCATTGAAAAAATATGTACATAAAAAATCTGATGGTAGACTAAAATAATTATCAATATGCCACTTAAAAAAATGCGTGAATATGCCAAATACCCATATTAGGTAAATAAAAAAATATCAAAGTATGCAAATATATACAAATAAAACATTGTAAGAAATATAATATGCAGTATTAAATCAATATTTTGAAACAAATTGTTACACATTATCCAGCTTTAAATACGACTTACCATCCATATGCATTTTATGCAAATTTCTGAACTTACCAGCCCTGCAGTCATCAGGTACATCATACGAATTAATGAATTATTATATTTATCATACTAATACTTTTTTTTAAATAATATCTTCAATCAAGTAGATAGGTACACTGCATGTATATTCGCGCGTACACGGTGCATAATATAGTACTATATAGTAGGTACTAGTCACGGTAAAAACAAAACAGTTGTTTGTACTATAAAAATGGTAAGATTGACTGTACATTATAATTGCTATAGAATTAGCTATTAGGTTAATCAGATTTACTAAAATAGCATAGTCAAGTACTCAAGTTATTATAGTTATCCGAACTGAAATATGCTATTTTAACTACATTTTGTAGTTAATTCAAATTTCAAACATTAAAAACTGCATTAACTATAAAATATAGTAAATATTACTATAACAAATAACTATATTTATATTATAGTCATAATAAGTAAATCATTTTAGTTTTCTTACCTATTAAATAGTTATATTTACTATAATTTGTTTAACTATAATATTATAGTAATTTTTTTTCCGTGTGTATAGGTACTACCTACCTATTTTGTAAGTTGTTACCAAATACTAATACAATTATCAAACTAAAATAATATAAGGTGATAGTGTATTATAGCTAATAATACGTATTAAGATAAATACTGTTTTTTTTTTTAAGTCACAGACACCGCTTTACAATTTAAATGGCCTCAAACAAGTAAAGAAGTTTTAAAAAAGGACTTTTTTGTATTAATTATATAACACTGCAGTAGCCAGTAGGTATAAGAATAATTACAGGTATTATCGAATTCTACAATCAAATAGAAAAAGTCCATAATATAATGTATGTAATTTCAACTGCGCGTTCACGTTTTTAATGTAATAGGTACCTCCGGAAATAATGAAAAGAAGTTCACGACAATTTCAGGATGGTTAATATATATGCCCTATAGTGTCAAGTTCGCGTGTGCGGTAGGTATCCATACGCCACAAGTATTATATTATATCATGCCCAGTTAACTATGCCAAGGTGCATACAACTTGAATATTTTTTCAAACTCGGTAAACATGTTTACGATTTGCAAATAATGCGTCGATATCGATATTATAATTTTATTTTGGTGTTTACTCGATCATACTTTTGTCTTCAGGTTATAATATATATATTTATATATATTATGGATAATTTATGTAGGTATTCGCATTCACCTAATAATGTAGATATTCTGTTTAAATGTTAAATCTGCAATTATTATTAAATGTTTTCTGTAAGTAGGTACTTGCATAGTCACATATATTTCTTACTGCACTATCGAGTTTAGCAAAACACAACATAAATAATATGAAAAATAATGTGATTTACCAATAACGTTAATATAGTCGTTATTTTAGACTAAGTACTTTTAGGGAGTTGCAGTGAGCTACAACTTGGTTAGTTACATATTATATTATACGTTTTTAGGGCAATTTTAAACCTGAAATATTATTAATTACTATTGACTTATAATATTTTATTATTTTCATACACAATGGCATGAATTAATCGGAAATCGTAAGTAGATAGATACATTTTATCTATGCAAATATAATAATATGTAGGATACGGTCTATTTTAAATGGTTTTTTTATTCCTTTATTTTACGTATAGATTAAATTAAATATATACCATTACACAGGTTAAATAAACAGTTTGGTCATAGTTAACTGTGAAGAACCCTAAATAAGTTTTTAACAAAACTAATTTTATTTCCTTTTAGCGTATCAATCTATTTTATAGTGTCAATTTTCAGCTTTAAAATTATAATATATACGGGCTGTATCACCCGACTTCGCTCTGGAAAAATTGAACACACCTAAAATTCGGTGCTACGTATGCGATGTATCTCGATAATAGATAAAGTCATAAACAATACATTATAACTAATCGTTATACTTATATTACTATGTAAAAGTTGAAACATTTTTTCGAAAACACAATTTATATAATTCAGCTAGTCGTGATATAAAAATAAAGTGATCGGTGTTTTCATGCAACTCTCATGTATTTAACATTAAAACTATGTATGTAACAAAATGTATATTTATCTGTAGTTTTATAATTTCGGCCAGTCTTTATTTTTGACAGTGTATACGTAAACGATTATATAATTAGTGTACCTATGTACATTTCTCGTAAACAACAGACATTAAAGGTATACCTATTTCAAAACTAAAAACGGATTACAGTTCAGCTACTAAAATCGCGACTTTTCAAACAACAGGATTTGCATTTTCTTAAGTAACAATACAACTGAGTATAAATTTGTTGATCACTCGGAGGAGTATTTGGAACAACTTTGCTAAAAATAAATGTTAAATTACTTAAATGACAAGCTAAAAACCGTAACATATAAATACAATACACCCCATCAGGCAAAAAAATTAAAAATTGGGTCACTGTGTGACACTCGGAAAAGTATTTTAACAACTCTGTTGATATCAATTTGAAAAAAGCTTAATAGTGTCGTCAGAAAATTGTTACATAAAACAGGCCTAATTTTGCTTATATTATAAGGATTACACTTTTATTATATAAAAAAATATGCATAAAGAGCGTAGTAAATTTTTTTTGAATAAACAGAGTTACATTGATTTAGGTGTCTAATATTCTATACTCTATATACTATTAGCTATTCGTTGATTAAAATAATTGTAAAGGTCAAAATTTAAATTTATGATATGGTAAGATATGAATACCTGTACATTTTTAATCTATTCATCCAATAAACTTAACCCAATTATATAAATAATAACATAAACATGCCCAGAAAAATATTCTATTTAATAACTGAACTCCGTTTAAAAGTTAATACTATTGTAAATATTGAGGAAGGGTGAAACACCATTATGCATTTGTCGATCGTTACCACATACAATTCTAGATCACATAAGACTTATAGGCTATAATAAATTTATACTGTAACTGGTAGTTTTGAGAAGAAGAATACAATTTTTTTTGCATAGGATTTAATAGTCTGACTTCCCAACGTTCATGACTTCTATTTTTTTTTCGTCATAACCTTCAGCCATCATATAGTCGAATGGAGATTGTCGATCCATCGAGCAGATGAACCGGGACTTACGGTTAGTTTTCGTTAAGCAATACGGCACATAAGTCAAGACTATTGAAGTAAATGACCTCGAGAACGATAATAATTTTATTTTTATTTTGTTTTAAAACATACTTTATCGGTATTCACTATATAGTTCTCAACGGAACATGTTATTTTGTTTAACGTTAAATACCTACCTAAAAATGTTTCTCAACCCATTATATCAAACCCTTAGAGCTTCATTATAAATACATAATATACATATTATTGTAAGTAATGCTGTTTGCATATTATATAATGCATTTTAACATTAAAAATATGATCAATGCAATCGATTTTTATGCATACTGGTTACTGCAGAATGTTGTGCAAACGTTTTCCTTTTTTTTTTATTTATATTCGTTTAATAAAGATAAAAGTTATTAGGTTTCCTTTTTATATAATTCAATATTTATAAATTTATAATCCACTATATTTTTTTAACAAAGACTGCTTGTGATGAATATTGTTTTCTAATTATTTTTAAATTTATAAATTAAACTTTGAGCTTTTTTCTTACACAGACTAGTAGACTACACACAGTCATTTTTATTAATAACGCCTTTTTATAAACATTTAATATATATAACCGCACAATATGCATATTATATTATTAAAAAAATTATTCGAAATCCAGGATTACAATAACAAGTATTATATATAATAATAGGTACCTAGGTACTTACTAATTAATCATTATATGAACGATTTGTTTTTAATTATATGAAAAAGTTTGTTTATTTTTGAATATTATCTCCTATTACTTACCCACTTAGGTACCACGTGTTGGTACTAACCTAACCTAACCTACTGAATGTCCATATATTCCTGGTACCCATAATTTTGAATTTTGAACTTTACTTATACTGTTATTGAGTTATATACTTATACGTACACTATTATATTATTATGTAGGCATAAGAATGTTATAAGCTCATACGACATATAACATGCATAATGCAATCATGCATGGAGATGTACAATTACCTAATTCTTAAAGCATTATAATATATTTATGCACTTAAATACTGATTTGGAGAGTATTATTTTATAACTGCAATCAAACTAAAATTGGAGCTATTGAAACCAATTAACAGCAAAACAATTCCAAGGAGTATTACTTATAATACATTTTAGATAGAAAGTTTAAAATAAATAGATGTTTAAACAAGAGCCAAGAATGATATTATTTTATTGTATTACAAAGGAAATATCGTCATTAATTAGGTACCTACCAAATTGTTATTATATAAATACATTTGTGCATTATTACTTATAACATTGGATTTTAATTTTTATTTGGTTTTTGACTTTTGTGTACTGTTGGTTACTTTTTTGGAATCAAACAATAATATGATAGGTAAGTGGATACGTATATATGGCCATCTAAAATATTATTTTATTCATTAGGTAGTTATCGGCCAGAATAAACGATCAAATACGTGATTTCTCTTCCGTGTGTATATTTTTTGTAGATGGTAGTCCACGTGCATGGTATCAGAGTATTTTTATTGAACAGTGTTAAATGTTTATAGATTGATCCACTGACGAACGAACAACAAAAAAGAGAAACTAATATAATATAATATTATAATAATACTATACCGTCCGCAATAGGAAACAATGACATAAAATTAATTTGACAATATTATTAAGAAACTGAAAGCTAAATGATAATACTTTCAACATTTCCCTGGTGATAGCCGCAAACCAATAAAGCATTGGATAAAATCTAAAAACCTACATTTGCATAAAATTATTATTGAAAAGTATTATAATTAATCACTATAGAATGTATAAGACGTATACAGCACAAAATACTTTTGACGATACTGCTAGGATACTAGGTAAATCATTAAATAAGTGATTAATGATTATCCATTTAAATAAAGTTGGTGTGTCAGACATCTTTGATCAAAAAATAAAATAAAAATCGTGGAGGATTTGGAAACCGGACTTTTTAAGTCGTCATAAATACAAATTTCTTTGAAAAGTTAAAAAAAACTCGTAATTTTTTACATTGAAATGCTTAGTTGATGCGTCGTATAAAACCTGTTCCTGATCCCATGAATGCTCTCGAACTTACTAAGTGTTCACAAATATTTGTTTACGCCGAATAATGTGCATCATAATAATATTATATATGATTTTAGTTTATTTATTCTTCACATTTTAATGGATTAATGTAGGTATATAATATTTGTTGTTACCTTTACGGACGATAATAATAAATTGTTCTGTAATAATGCATAATATTATAATATTACGAATTACGATGATACGGCTGCAGGACACGCAGCAAATACAATTCGGACAACTTCTTTATTTTTTTTTCGAATAGATGATGTACACAGTGAAAGTGATTAAGATTGAGTTTCGGACACGGTGTTGTGTTGTTATCAAGGTCGTAGCGAAGAATACACCACTTTGATCTGCTTTAAGGTCAGACAATGCGTGAACTTACCCGACTCCCACTGCCCGAAGGACTCGCAAAGTAAATGGTCACTGGCACAGCCACTTCTATAAATAGTACTCGCAACACTGCGGAGACGTTGACTATCGTTTGGACATTCCCTGGTCCTGTTTCGTCTCCATAGAGTGTTCTTGCCTGTGCAAGTAGTATCGCCTACCGAATCATCCACTTATCAAGGTAAATATATGCATACCATCGTTCATAATAATGATTTTTTTTAAACCTAAATAAAAATTAAAAACGTTTAAAATAGGTAAATCCCGGAGTAATAGATTTTTATTATTTTATCTATAATTTTATTTTGTATATTATAATATATACATAGAAATTAATTGTTTTAACAAAAGAAATGTATACCTAGGTTTTTATTACACTTGTACGCTTTATTTAACTGAAACAAAACAATTATATAAGTCAATATTATAGTAAACATCTAGATAAGCTTTTAGCTTATAAATATCTGGTATGTTTTTTTAACAATTATTTTTGTACCTCTACCTATAGGCTATAATTTATAATATAATTATTATTAATGATGTTAAAACTTCAGCTGAATAAACATTGTTGTTACTATCTTTGTTAATCAATATCAGTAGGTAAATTGGTACTACATTGTTTTTTTAAGGTATTTAATATAAAATATAAATATCGTTTTTTTTTAGACTTAAAATTGAATTAATAAAATAACTCGATTTAATAACGATTTGGAATAACAAGTATACAATTATATAACATAATATACCTATAGATAAAAATCTTTACATTTTTTAATGAGTTTTATAAATTATAATATTAAACGTATAATAAAAAAATGGACCTATTAGATAAGGATTAAAATATAAAATTATATAAATCATAAAGGTGTTTAGGTTATAAAGGAAATGATGTTGATATAGGTAAATATAAAAAATTATATCAATGGGTGAGTAAACATAATATTTATGCTAAAATTGTTAATAGTGTTGTTTATTTAAAGTGTAATTAATAATAGGTAACACATAGTTTCGATCTGATGGGTTTTGATTTAATTAGGTGCTGGTATTAGATATTACCCATTATACAATGATTATGTTGAGATATTTAAATTATGTATTCTACATTTATTTTAAAATCAGATTTCTTCCCATATTCTAAGTTACACTCTTTATTATAATATAGGTAGTAGGTACTATATGCAATGATACCTGTGCAATGATTATTTACTAAAACCTGAGTATAATATGAAACACGTTAAGTAGGTTTATCGTTTCCTTTGAATTTTTTTTTTGTGTTACATGTTTAAAACACTTATTTTCTCTTCTTAATACGAATAATAATTTAAATTTGAGTTTAAAAAAAGTTAGTATTTTCAGATACAGATGAAAATATAGTCCGTCACTCAACATTTTGTTTTTAATATTTTACACATTATTAAACTACCTATTATCTACTTGAATAAGTTTTATTTCATTATAATGTTCAAAATAAGTTGTGCCTGTGTAAAGTTTGAAGCCAGTTTAAAGCCAGTTATTTGTTACATTTAGTTATGGGAAGAAGATAAAAAAACTGAAATTTATGATATGGAACATAAAGTATAAAAGTTAGATTTTAACAATTTGTCTTTAATATTCTGATTAGTTTTTAAGCTTCTTATTTGAATATAGAAACTCAAAGTACAAAATAAACTATATACAGATGGAAAGGACTTATGAATTATACACTACCAATGTAAAATAATTGTTACACAAGTCCCATATATAATAGGACATTATGATTAATTATATTCGTAACAAAACAAGAATAGATACCTAGGTACATATAACTGACAATATAATAAGTATATTACAAATTATAATAGTGCCATTCGTGTTATGTATACAATATAATGCATAATGGCGAAAGACTTTCCGTTTATAGAACCTTTTAATAATTTTCATTTCGCAGTTGTTAGTTACCAGTTACCACAAATTTAATATTAATCAAATTACATATTATAACGTCCGTATTAGTCCGACAGCCGTCGTACTTTATAACACGTAGATAAATTAAATATCACGCCTTTCATATTGTATTATAAATTTATGCCTAGGTACTATGATAATAAAAATATATTTGAATATAACCAGCTATGCAAATCAATTGTTAGATAATTACATTAAATATCTCATTTTTATATTATCCTCTGCATATACGCTATAAGAGTGTAGGTAGTTTTTATTTAGATTGTTTCAAATTCATTTAAAACTGAAAGTATGTACTCGTATAGTGTACTACGTACTATGGCGAAACAGCTTCTTTAAAGTATATTGATTATTTCTGCTTGGTTTTCGGAATGTAATTAAAAATTCTAACAATAGGTAAATTATTTTTGAAAAAAATTTGCATCGTGACGTTTCGTTTGGTATGATATTACTACAAATAACAATACAACATAAGGAATAATTATGATTGCTCCTAAATCTGTTTATGATCCTGCTACGCTATGCAACAAACCAAAAAAGTATTTTATGAAACACGAGAAAATAGAATAGTTTCATGTCTTAGGCCTTAGCCAAAACTAATAATCCACTACAAATAAATTGTAAATTTCATTTTTTATTATTTGATCGTTACCTATATATTTTTTACAAAGTTTTTAACTTTTAAATTACAACACACATTGTTTATTTCCATTGTATTTTTCTGATATTTTTTCTGTATAAATAATACAAATCGAGTACCTAACCTGTAGTGAATTCTCATAAGAATTTCGTAATTCATAAGCATTTAAATTTTTTACGAGGATAGACTGTAGTGAAAACCTGGCACAAGGGGTAGGTTGCAAAATGTTGGTGGACTACGCCACTACGGCATTCTACTCCAGTTTTCGACACTTTAATGTTTAAACGCTTATATAATTAATAACTAATTCATTTACTGGATTGGTATTTGTTTTTATACACAAACATCATTTTTTTTTTTTCATAATTTATCGTTGTGTTGGAAATTTGGAATGTCTTCCAAATATTATGTATCAAATTGAACGTTTTCAAAAACATATAAATTTACCGAGAAAATTACTGTTTCGCAATAAAAGAATCACTCCGTACATAATATTATGTTCTATAACGTATACTTTTAATTATTACACTCGATCATTGTGTAACGGTGGTTCCATTAAAAAACCCAACAGTTTTATCGGCGATGACCAATCCCGATTGGACAGATTTCTCGTCGTCTCGGGCGACGGCTAATAGGCATTATAGGTATTTAGGTATATTCCGCCGGCAACAATGGTTACACACGTTTACAATCGTTTTCAACTGAACACGTTTACACAAACCGGGAACCGAGTATCATGTTATTCCTTGCCCGTATACATAATAATATTATAATATTATAATAATGTGCGCCGCGTTGCGCAACTGCAGGCCCAGAGTGCACGGCTAATGAGATACGCTTTCGTTGCCCGTCGTGTACACCGTGTGTTAGAGGTTATAGGTAGAAGTAAGTAGGTAGGTACATGGTATCATTATAATAATATAGGCATAACATTGCGGTTGAAAACAGCCTTTCAACTCGGCAAATCCGGCCGGCGACGATGGAGCCGACTGCGGCGAGGCGATGCGTGTTTGCACTGTGTCCAATTATTATAAAATCGTTATTATACAGCTGTCTATCTGGATGACCTAGGTATATACCTAGGCACCTACGAGCGTACCAGACTCTGCCGATCGGCTGCATAAAGCAAAAAAAAAAAAATACTATTGTAATGTATAGCTGGTGTCAGCGATATAATACGCGCGCAATAAAATCTCGATGATTACAGCGAGCCGAATCGTTTCGAAATCCATTACGCATTTGCAGTAAAATTCATTTGTTCGAGTCGGTATAAAGTCATATTGTCACTGCCTACGTCTCGAATTTCTATTATATTATTATGTCGGTCGGTGGTTTGCACTGCGAATAGATACGCATAACTCACAATTGTAGCCTAAGAGGCTTTACGATATTGTTTAAAAAATCTAATTTAGGAATAGTAGTTTATGAGTTATAACATTATTTAAAGTTTAGATGAGTGGTTCAACATTTTATGGGGGAACCATACTCATGATGATTTATTTGATATATTATATAAAATATATAATATATACTTTAAATACTTATAAGTTATAACTGATAAACTACTATTCCTAAATTTGATTTTTATGAACCGAAATACTCAGAGAAATATTTCACTTTCGAATAATAATTAAAATTGTATGTCGTAATTCAAAAATGTAAAACTTAAAAAACTAAACCGTTCTTTTATAACAACTTAAAATCATGTAAAAAAAAAATATTTTTGAAATCATTAATACTTTTTAAATAATGAGTGGTCCTTGATAAAATAATCGACCTGTTTATATATTATATAATCTATCTATTTTAAAGTCAATAATTAAACTTAAATACCTACTGGCTACTGCAACCGTGTAAAGCGTTGAACATTTTTATATTCACTTCTCTAGGATTGCAGTGATACGATTACACATAGGTAGGTACTATATATAAAATTGTTGCTTCTTCAGTTCATTTTTCTAGATTTTATGTTCCGTTCTCATAATTTAAATATAATATCTCAATTTAAATATTATGATGAGAACTATTTTTTAAAAATAGATGGATGAGTAACTATTTAATTTTCAAATTACTTTTTAAAAATATTTTTAAATTGCATTTTAGTCTTAACATTGTAAATGTACCTATACATTGATTATTGTTATTACTTATTACACATAATTTCAGACTCTGATGATTACAATATTTAACTGTATAATTTGACTTTCGTAGTATTAACTATTATTAATAAATTAAATCATCATTTTATGATAAAATTGTGCAAGATGACATTGTATCGCTAAATCGCAGGTTATCTTACCGAATAATTGTTTAAAAATAAAACATATATTTGTGTAAATCAAAAAGTTTTTAAAATAAATATTTAAACATAATATTTTATACGATTTTACACATAGAAAAAACATTAATATGCATTTTAAAATAAATTGTATGATTTTGTAATGGTTTTTGTATATTATCATGACCTAAATATTATATTATTACTTAAATTTACTTAAATTATTGTTATATCGTATTATAATTAATGCTTATGAATTATTATTTATATAATTTGAATTAACTTTATACGAATTTCAGTTACAATTAAGAATATGATAATGTATAAGAACACATTTTAACTTTGAAATTCAGGTTATTTCATTGTATTTTAATTTATAATATAAGTACATGAAACTCGTATAATAAGTCTTGAATAACGAATTTTGAATAAAATCGATACTTTAATACTTCAAGATTTAATTTTGTTAAGGCCTATTAGTTGTTTTAAATATTTTACATTATTCGCTGTGGATCTTAAAATGAATAATATTTATATTTTATTATTCAAGAAGCACTTACAATATACATGGATAACGATGTACATAACATATTATTATTATTAGAACATTAATTTATTTGATAAAATTAAACTTTAAAATTTAACAATTTATTACTGTTGAGATTCCCAGCAGAATGTTAACATTTCCCAAAATTAATAAATTATATATTAAGTAGAAAATTTTAACTGATTAGGTACCAGGTACACCTATACATAACAAGTGATTAGTTTCTTTCCAATTTTCCGAATTTTTGTTTGTCCTACAACCATGTTAATTTAAAGTGATTTTATCATAAAATTGGATTATTGTTGAAATTACTTAATTGTATAAAAATTTTAACTCAGCAATTTTTTTTACGCATGAAAAAAATTATATAGATCATAATTAATAATTTAAGATTCACTTATGTCTGAAAATTCTCAAAAAGAATATTTCGAATAAATAAGTGTTTACGTTTTGAATTAATTTAATCCAAAAAAACTTTGATATTTTAAACAATTTAAAAAAATAAACCACTTAAATTAACGATTTTAACATTAATAATTTTACAAAAATTAGATTTATAAATTGGCTCTATTAGATTTTCCAAAAAAAAAAATTAATCAAATTTAAAGTGTTCAGTATTAAAAATATATATTATAAAAAAAAATGTTTAAATATTGATTAAAACAAAAGTTATTTGATTTTTCTGGTCATTCTATTACACCTTATAGGTATATTAGTTTACAAATCACTGTTGAATATTCGAAACGTGGGTTATGTATTTTATAATATTACAAGAAGAGCACAAGATACCAAGTATAGTACTAATATCTAGTATTCTAGTTAGACGTATATTTTGTATTATTCGATTAGTACAATATCTCTTTAAATCTAAAAAATGAAAAATAATAATGTTGTCATCTTTTTTCGGGAGGGGTAGCATGCACTTTTTACATTAATTCCCGAACTTAACCGTTTTTTTTCTTTTGTCACAGATGACCAGAACCGTGCCTTTTGGATTCTTCGTCTTGGCGCTGACCGTGACAAGCTGCTTGGCGGCCATCAGCGAGGTGAAAACCAACAACCCCGTCACACAGAAGCCTGGTCGTTTCCTCAGCTTGCCTGTCGCTCAGAAATGTAGTCAAAGTAAGTCGGCCACGCGGAATAGTAATATTACACAATATTAATGTGTTAAGGAGTGTAACATTCGCGCTGGACTACATATAAAGCGATATAAATTAGTTAGCAACTGACCTCTGACCGGGTCGCAGATTGTATGGAAAACCACGTATTGCCTCCAATTGATTACTGATGAGAGAGAGCTTTCATGAGACACGTTGTTTTATCATACAACAGTAGAATTATATGACCTGTGTTATTTAAAAATCATAAGAATCCTGAATCAAGAATATAATCTTAAAAAACATATAAATATTATTAGTTGTTTAATTTAATTTATTTATTTTAAAATGTTTTATTTATTTATTAAATGTTACACAATTATCTCGTATCTAATATTATGATGTGATATGGTATGGTGTCCGAAAATTTATTTTATTTCGTTTATCGAAGGCAGGGGAAGCTAAGAACAAAACCAATTTCAAACGTATTATAATTTATATATTTAATATTTAGTCCATGACTATAAAAAAATGTTCAAATATTTTACTTAAATTCGGTGTTGTTCAGACTTGTTCTACCCAGCCGTATATATTATAGACCCATCGAGAGTGCACAATCGGTAAGAATAGGTTTTTCTTATGTCGTTTAAAAAATCATTCATAACGGTCCCCGTAATATCAACTCCTCCTCCTCCACTGGCCGGCCGTTGTTCTTTTGGACCTGCGAGGGCGGGGCTGGGGTTTGGGCACCACGACCCGTTCTTCGGCCGCAATCATGACGACGGGCTCGGCTGGGTCTGCCGACCAACGGCGACTGCGACGGCTGACTCTGCTTTGGTTGCGGTGGTGTGTCCGCGAACACGACAACCGCGTACACGGTGACCGCGACCGGTCTCGGACCTGCGGTGGTCGGCTTGTCCGTGCCCAACGTCCGGTGGCCGCCTGCGACGACCCTCCAGCGTGGTGGTCCACCACGGCTGACCACGGCGGCTGTTCGGTGTCGCCGTCTTCGTTCGCGGCCACAGTCGGTCTGTTCCGCCTCACGACTTCCTTTCGCCGACCCGAAGTCGTCCTCTGCTGTCGATTTCTCCGGTTTGAAACATTCGTCCGATTTTCGCCTTCCGATTGAACGACGTCGTCGTCCTCTTGTTCGTCGTCGTCGTCGCCATCACCGCCGTCGTCGTCGTCACAGTCGTCGTTCAGGCGCGCAGACGGCGGTACGACTTCAGAGGACGACGCGGTCGAATCGTTGTCTGCGTTGCTGTCGTTGTCAGACAATGACGGTGATGTCGGCCTTACCTCAATGTTGCCCATCTCGTGATCGGCCCAGCAAGCAATTTAACAATTTTCGTCGAAATATTTTCTGCGTTACCAACGGCGACCGTGTGTATTCGTAATAATAGCTGTTGAGCAAGGATTTTTATGTTCTAATGAATAAAGACAAAATATGTAAACATTCGTGTGGGGGCATGTGGTCGTATTCATCGAAATTTTTATTAAAAAAAAATATAGAACTGCATATATTTGAAGATTTTCCGACGTTTGAAAAATTTTGATCTCGAAATTGCCTTATTATAACCGCAAAAAGAGCGTTCGTCGTCAACCTATGTGATTAAGTCACCTTTTGAATATTTAATATTAAATAAGATTGCATATACATACATACTGTGTACAATTTCAATGACGTGTAATCATTTAGAATAATTGTTTTTATTGAATTGAATTTTTCTTTGTTTATTTTTTCAGAGTTTATTGTATTTACATGTTACTATGTTGGGTTAGGTCATGTCAAATAAACAAATGGTAATTATTACCATCGTTTTGAAAAGTTTTTTTTAAGTTAATCTAGAATGATATCAGCTAATTACATCATATTGTATTTTGTAATCGAAATGTTTGATGTTCTTTTTTTTTAGTGCCTTGTAACACTAATTAACAACCACAAACAACTTCTAAAGCTATTATTTAGTACCTATGAACGTTATGATTTGTGAGACATGAAAATTCTTATGACTTATAGATACTAAATAGTACCTACTATGTTTTATTATACATTTATAGATATTAGGTTTAACGTTTAAGGACATTTTAAGCAATCCTAATCTAATCTGAATCGACTTGGTTAAGACTGAATGAGTTTATATTAGCACACTTGCTAATATTTGCTATAACTTGCTAATACTAGCACAATAAAGTACCAGTTTTCCAAACACAATTTTGTTTATTTATAATAAAAAAAAAAGTTATTCAATCATTTTTTGGCAGTTGCGTGACATTATTTTTTAATTGTTTCCAGGACCGAAAGAATTCACTTACAAAGGACGCAATTACTTCTATAGTGGCCACACGCAACAGTACAAAACATCCAAAGTTGATTGGTTGGAAGCAAGAAATATCTGCCGAGAATACTGCATGGACCTTGTATCGATTGAAACTCAAGAAGAAAACAATCTCATTTTCCGACTAATCCAACAAAGTAAGTGCCTATTTCTAATATTACTATCAGCAATACAAGTAAAACGATGATTGTACATTAATTCATTATTATTATTATTATTATCATTTATCGGTGCGGTTCGTGAAAAGACTCTACAACTTTATAATTCATAATTATAATTTTATACTTAGCATGGATTATAGATAAATTTGATAAAATTATACTAGACAATTATATAAGATTATACTATTAGCCATTAGGTCTTACTTATTTAGTGCATAAGATATTTTTTTAACTCCAGTACCTATGGATTCATTTTTATACCTTATCAGCATGTTGAGTAACTATTTTTCTTATATAATACATACTTGGTATAGTTGGTACTTTAGGAAGTACCTAAGGTCTATCAAAATTTTGAATAAAAAATAAAAAATCATAATAATAATTATACATAATATAGCTGTGAAGCGTTTTCTTTACGAGAGCTGATTAATGAATATCAAAATTTAAGACAAGGGCGTTACTTTCATAACATATTCCCACTGGTCGACTCCAACTGTAATCTGAAATTATTGTTATGTACCATGTCTTTTTCTATGTCTTTCTATTGCAAAAACCTAACCTATATTTTGATCATTGTTTTATTTTTCAAGGCTGCTCAGCCATATTCCGACTAGATCGGATTTTTTAAGCAAATCCAGCCCAATCTGGCTCAAAATGTCTTAAAAATAATAATTAAAAAAGTATAATTAATATACTCTAATTAACATTCTGCTGACATTTCGTGAGAACGTTCGGCACGTTACCACTAACCAGTGTAATATAATTCACCGGCCAGTTTCAATAAAAGAAAACATTGTATTTTTAGTGTTTTGTTCAGTAGGTGTGTAATACGTATTAAATACTGTTATATTTTTCAAAGTTTTCTGACGACCTTCACAATAGGTGACTGAAAGTAAATAAATTGAATAAAAGACTCAATAGAGTAATAATAGGTACTAATATTACGTAATAACTAATAATGATTTTATAGTTAGATACGCTTATGCTTATTATATATAAATATATATTTATAATTTGTGACTGGCGGAAAAAGAAGAGCTAGGTGCCGATATTTTACAGTAATGGTTTAATGTGTAAATAATTTAAACGTAATTTAGTTTGTTTATGTAATTAGGTTTGTAGTTTACATGTAGAACCATTAGTCTCCCCGTGCTGTTGGAAAGAAAAAATTATTATTTAATTTTGCTATTATAAAGATTTTGTGTTATTATCAAACGTATACATATTAGCTACTATTGTCTAAACAGTTTCACTCACATATAATATCATATTTCATGGCACGTGCTTCCTTTATGAACACATTATAATGTGAAATTTTTCTTACGTTTAACTAACAGTCCTAATTACGTTTTGTATTACAAGCCAAAACAGTTTTAGTAAAAACTACATTTAGTCGGTTTCTGCGTGTCCTTTTATTCAATAGATAGGTAGGTACATTAAGAAAACGTTACTCAATCTAAAATTAAATTTTGCTGACACCTAACCAATGACGTGATTTTTCAAGCCTAATAAGTAATAACATAACAAATTGTTTATGTTAATATTCATTTTTCTTCAAATTTCTTTGAAATCCTTCAAAGGGTATAAACTGGAAAATGCTAAGTCAATGAAAAATTTAAAACTTTTCCAAGAAAAACTATACAAAATAGATAATAATAAATAATGTTATTTTTTAAAATATTATTCATAATATAGATATAAGATATAAATAAAGTGTGTATAATTATACAAGATATAATTATATAATATTATAATATCATCATATTGAGCTTAGCTGTTGGTTAGATTGGTGTCACAAAAATTAAAATAATTGTGTTTTTCACAACGTGTGTTCTTGTTATTTCTTGTCGGTGTAATAATTTTTTATTAAAAAAAAAACTAAAAATATGAATTTACATCAATGAATAATTTACAAATTATTGATTGATATATTATAACACTAAAATAATATATATGTTATGCATTTTAACTACGTATATAATAATAATTTGGACAGTATAATCACATTTCTTTTTATCCATAAATTATAAAAATATTAATTTAATTTATAAATATATAAAATTACACGTGCATGTCATATTTTAAAAGTTGAATTATTACAAAACTTGAAGAGAACTGATGGTTGTATAAAATCGTGATACTATACATTTGAATGAGTCTGTATTTTGTTTAATGAATATTGTGTTATTGTTAAAAATTACCATCATATAAAGTCTTAATTTGTTTTTATTTTTAGGGGGGTTGTTTCCGAATAAGTAAAAATAGGAATAGTATAGGAAATTGAATAACGTTTAATTTTTAAGTCTGGCGCTCAAGATAATAAATTAGGGTCCTATCACTGGATAACCTCCACTATCTTTATATTAATAAATAAATTATGTAAATAAATAAATTATGTAAATAATAATAATAAAGTCCGTTTAGTTTTTGGACACATAATACCCGCTGTTGTTGTAATGTGTTGTATCAATACTATACTACTGATATATTATTATACCAAACTAATTTAAATGAAAACTGTTCACTGTACATGCTTTTATTTCATTCCAGTGATATTTTAGAATATTTGAAATATATTTTATAGGTATAATGTATATAGGTATTACAATATTCCTTATAATTACTTTTCAAAACTGTAGATTGACGTGTAACAAATTTGGATTTAATATTGCAATTCATTTTCATTTTAATAATATAATTTAAGTAATTATTTACAAATATTTAGCAATGGCCTAAACCGTTTACCTACTAATAATAAAACGAGTGAGAAAAATATAGGAGGGCCATTTTAAAGTTAATACAATGTATAATTAAAATCTGTCTTTGGTTTGATTGTGGAAATGCAGTGTGACGATTAGAGGTCAAAATGTACATATTATTATGTGCAATAAATCTGACGGAGAGAAATCATACGTCACACTCAAATATCACATTGGCCATGTTATATCATAGACTTTTACCGTAAGGCAGAAGATAACATAGTATTGTGCATATAATAAACACTATACACTGTACAGGGTGTATAATGTTTAGACAGTTTCTTAAAGTATTTGATTTCAACAGCAAGTTGTGTGAAATATTGATTTTTACGAGCACAGAGCACCACCTGTCAGTAGATTTGGTACATGTTTATAATGTATAATACTTGAAAAATAATCACAAGTAACCTAAAACCACTGGCTTGGCGAACTACCAATATCGGGATTTAGAGAAAAATATTTGTGTGGGTCCTATCAGTGGCATGTTAAGAGTTACTTTCGAGCCTCAGTGATAGTGCGTTTGTATGTCCAGCAATTAATCTGGATGAGTAGATAAATGTAAACAATGCAATCTAATCAATATTATTTAAAAAATCATATCATATAATAAAACTGATATGGTATTATACATTTATAAATATTAATTGACTAAATATTATATTGTATACCTATAGGTAATTTATTAGTAATCACTAATCAATTATTACTAATAACTGTTTTCAAATTATTTAACTCGTTGGTTGTAAATGCCCTATAGTTAACTTTTGCCGACTGCAGTCTACATATACTGCCTTCAACCCGTCTATGATAATAATAATAATAATAATAATAGTTATAACACGATGTCCGTTTTTATAGTTTACATAATATAATATACGATAATGCGGTAACCGCGTTATAATACTATACATAAAATGCCAGGTTGCGTAAAAAATTGATTAATTTAAGTTATTTAACGATTTACAAAAATGTAATGAAGTAAACTGGTCACTAAATCATGTTTATGGGGCCATTAGCTCATATAATCTTGATTCGTTAATTAATGTAGCTATATAGTGATTATTTATGTGACCCCGGCACCCAGGCACCCAGCACTAATATTATAATACTATTTTATTGTTATTTGGTGCTTCGCAGATGACGCTCCTTACATATGGACCAGTGGACGGTTATGCGACTTCAAGGGCTGCGAGAACCGACCGGACCTTGAGCCGAAGACCGTGAACGGATGGTTCTGGTCGGCAACCCGGGGCAAGATATCGGCTACCAACCAGACATCAGCTGGCTGGACGTACATTCCATGGAGCAAGAGTGGGCACAAGAAGACACCACAGCCGGACAACGCTGAGTTCGACATCAATGGCACAGTGGAGTCGTGTCTGAGCGTACTCAATAACGTATACGGCGACGGCATAGCGTGGCACGATATTGGTTGCTATCACGAGAAGCCATTCGTGTGTGAGGACAGCGACGAGCTCCTCAGCTACGTGGCCGCCACCAACCCAGGACTCCAGCTCTAAAAGCCACCTTCGCCACCTCTACCGATATCATCAACCCTCCCATGCGATCATCCCCCTACAACCCCCCCCCCCCCCACCACCGGGATAAGCGACAGACGCCGTCCTTTAAAATATATAAAATCTTAATACACATCCAACGGTTGTACTTTATCCTCATTAACCGGGCCCTTAGAATTAAAATCAAATCCGTGATAAAGGGCGCTAGGGACAATTTAAACTATAACTATAATATACCTAGGTAATATATAATATTTAACGCCGTGAGTGCACTTAGTAACTTATTAGTTACATCAATCATTGACGTGATGTTAGAAAAATAAGCAGGGCTCGTCTATGAGTAATTATTCTAAAGTCTATAGTTGTAACTGAACAAAAAAATTGTTTAGTTTCTTCTTCTTATACTCCTATATCACATAATACAACCGTATTATACATTTCACTTTGTGGTTCCTTTTAAATTACTATTAGCATGAACAGACATCCATATAATACATCCGACACAACATAATTTGAACCATAAAACTTAATACTAGCAAGTCTCCGTCGAAGCAGGGCATTAAAATGTTTTAGAACTTATTGGTTTCTGTAGCTACAATCGTAGACGACGTGCGTCTTATCTCTCACTCCTTCCCCGTCCTTCATTCCATAATCGTTGTTCATCGTCATCGTAACCTGTATTAATACTATATTTATATTATATTGTACATGCAATATGCATGTATATTTTAAGTTTATTATTTTTTTTTATCTTATATTTTATAACTGATGTAATTCAGTTCACTAAATTTAGGTGCGACCACAGTCTGTTGTTGTGGCAACGTATCATTCGTTTTTATATCTAACTACTGTTTTCGTATAAATAAACGTTCGGATGATACACATTTTTGTATTAATTTCTTTCCTCCCGTGTCCTCATCCTCATCTCATGTCCACACCGACTAGTTCAAATGGACTAATAATGTATCTATAATAATAATATTATTATTGTTATTATTATTATACTATATATGTCTGTACCGACTCGACGTATCGTATTATACTATAATTATCATTATCGAGGTATTTCCTGTCGGCCATTCTAGCAAGGAGTAATGTATAGGCAACTCATTATATTGTCATGACTTGTTTATGTGTGAAAAGCATATTATGTAAGGTTATGTGTGGCACCTACGAACCCGACAACCGACAACATATTATTTTTATATTTGAGGAACGTGAACCATTGTTATGTTATATCCTTTTTTTCTCGTCTTCAAAAATGCATTAGCTGTGATATATTTTGAGGTTTTGACTAGCCCATTTTTAATTTAAAAAAAAATTAAGAAGAGAATACATCTCTTTGAGAGAACACATGAAATGTCTTACATAGGCTACTGCTATGAGTTTAAATAACAGTAATAGGCATAATACTATAATACTACTGCTGTACAGTAGGTTACTAGTGGGTCACTGTATAATGGAGGGTACCTATTAAATTTGAATTCAATGATATAATATCATTGTATAAGAAACACACCATTCTGAGCTGAGATGGTATGTCAGTCTAGGTATAAGGCATACTATATACTTATCTATGGTATTAAAGAAATTAACATATAATAAATTCCAAATTAATCATATCAAAATATCCATTAGGCACTTATAACTCGTTATACATCAACAACAAACCCTGATACTATCATAAATATATAATAGTGTACTTTAGAAGTTTCAAGTACCCACGAATAATATTATACAATCACAACAAAATAACTAAAATAGTTATTCTAGGTTTTTTATTATATAATTTCGTCCAATTTGAACTTAAAATGACTATAAAAATAAACTGGGGTTTTGTACTTTTTAGATTTTTTGGTAACTTACGTGGAATCTTGTTTTAAATTTTCAATCCTTAGATATAAAAGTTGAACATTTTATAAATTTTTAACTACAAAATAATTATTCAATTTTAAATTTGATAAATTTTGTCAAAATTCGAACTTAAAATGCTTATAATAAAAATTTGTACCTATGTATTTTTAATATTTTTTAATTGTTAAAGTAACAATTTATCAGGAGCCTTGTATTAAATTTTTACACTTTTTGGCAAAACAGATAAAACTTTATTGATATTTATAGAAAAAAAAACTTAAAAAAATGAAAACTGAGAATTTCCGTTAACAGCTCAAAAAGAGTCAAAATATTTTCAAAATTGTATGGTGTATAGGAAATGCTAATATGAATATTCAGTGAAATTTTCATGTATCTACAATTATTCGTCTTTGAATTACAACAAAATAAGGAAATCGCTACATGAGAAATCGAGTGAATATCCAATGTTGTAAAAATTTGAATTTCAAACGCTCATAAAAATTTAAATTGACTTTCTTATAGACATTTTTTTTTTTGATAATTGTAGGTAATCTTATAAGGAATCTTGTATTACATTTTCAAATCTTAGATTTAAAAAGAAAAATGTTTAAGAAATCTTAACTCAAAATAATTTGCTAATTTTAGTGATTTTTCCATATTTTGTCAATTTTTGAACTCTAAATGCTTATAACAAAGAACTGTGGCTAAGGATTTTTAATATTTTTCATATGCCTTTGAAACAATATACTAGGAGCCTTTTATTAAATTATCAAGCTTTTTAACCAACAAATAAAATTTTATTGATATTTTTAGAAAAAAAACTATAAAAAAATGGAAAATGAAAATGTCCCTAAACAGTTCAAAACAAATCATAATATTTTGAAAATGTTATCGTGTATAGGAAATGCAAATAAAAACAACCAGTGAAAATTTCATGTATATACGTTCATTTGTTTTAGAGTTACATTAAAAACCAAAATCGATTTTTTGGAAAACCGATTTTGTGTAAAAATTCCCGTTTTTCCTTAATTTGTATGTTGTTTGCGCTTGTGAAAACTATTGGGAATTTTAAAATTTGACCTCCCGAATGCACCAACTAAATTCACTTTTTCATCGAACCAGATACTGTTGAAGAAAATCGAAGCAGTTCTACTGCCTCAAACCGTGATGACAGACACAAAAATAAAAAAATAAAAAATTTAAATTTAAATAAACATATATCATTGTAAAATCAATACATTCATCGTTTCACTCAGAAACTGAAAAAGTTTAATGATCATAATAAGGGGCTTAAAACATAATATATACAGGAAAAACTCTCACGCCTTGTAGAATGATCCGATTTCGATCATTTTTTTTTTAAATGAGAAACAATTCTTACGGGTTATTGGTCATAGATTTTCAAAATTCTTTTAAAATTGATCATACTATATGTATTTTGACCAATTTTTGAAAGCTTTTGATTTTATTATTATTTATTATATTAAGAAACAAAATTAAAAATCAAAATACAACGAAAAATCATCCACTTTCTATCGAAAAAAAAAATTAATAAAATCAGACCACTCTACAAAGCGTGACAGTATTTCTTGTAAAGTGTTTCTTGAGCTAAAAGTCACGCTTTACATTATTTGTCGATGATCCCATTGAAATATCATGCACGCATGCAGCGAGTGAGTAAATGCAAGTTACCTGAATACAACCACACTCACACTAACCATAATTTAAGGCTAACACAAAATATGCTATGGGTGGCGGCAACGGAATTGCATATTGCCTAAATATTGCCCCTTATTACACACATGGCCTTTTTATCACCAAAATAAATTATTTTTTTAGAGAAAGGCCTCGTTTTTGAACAAAAAAAAGAGTTGTGATTTTTTTCTTTTACATTATAATAAATTTAGAAGGTGTCCATTTACAATGAGCCTTACAATTTTATCAGATGCTTAGTCTGTTTACGTCTTTAATGTATATTCTTTTGACCAACTGGAACCACTTTATAATATAATTGTATTATTACAACTACAAACTCAACATTCGTGACGATACACCTTAAAATAATAACAATATTATCTTATAACATTGCATCATTATCCATTGTCTGTGTTAATGTCTCACAATGTATTTAGATGTATTTAGTGGCGTAGTAAAATATTTTAAATACAAAATATATTGTATTTACTAATTTAATTACACCCAAGGTTAGGTTAGGATCTAACCTATATGAAGGATAGATTTTTCATATTATGATTTATTGATTGACGAAAAGATATTTAATATTTGCAAATAAAATCAATTAAATATTTGATGTAATTTTCTAAAAAGATGGTTTTACATTTTAATTGCAATTAAGTATATTAAACAATTTAAGCATATCTTTCAGTTTAGCAATTGCTAAAATTGCTAGAAATTGAAATTTTTATAAGTTATAACTAGAGACCGGATTTATATGTTTAAAAATCTTGAAAATAAGATGGTCCTATGCTCTATAATTTCATCAAAATAATCTTTTATATCCAAAAATATATTTTTTTTTAAAAGATATTCTTTTTCATAAAAATGTATTAAACACTGAAAAACAAATACAAGTAACAGTATATAAAAATAAACAGTTGTATTAATTAATCTATAATATGGTAATATACTGCCATACTGGTGTAGCTAGGATATTTAACTGTTGTAACACAAACTTATGAATTCAAATAATAGTAATACTAAAATAAAAATAATTGCATATTATAGTTCATTAACAGAATAATAGTATGTATTTAATACATATTGAACTTAAATAATTCAGCCTTATGAATTCAAAAAATAATAATACTAAAAATAAAAAAATGATTTCGTAATTTCATATAGCTCAACTAGGTACAGAATAATATTATGTATTAAAATAACTAAAACTTAAATAATTCAGCTTATAACCAAGAATATGTTAGGTTGTTACAAGATTAATCACAAATTAATCTAACCAAGTCTGAACAATCTTAAAAAGCATAGTCAACAATTGGTTTTATGAGCATTTACGATGTTAAATAAGTTGTGTGTTACCTACTTATTATTATGATAATAATTATATGTATTAAAATATTAAATTCACAAACATTAAGTATTTTTAATTATTTATAGCTTATACATTTATAAGT